CTTGGCAAAGCACTAAAGTGCTTGCACTTTCTTAAATCAACCCCCCTTATGGGGAATTGAACCCATAACTTTCTTTGGGACTAATCCCTAAGGAAAGCTGTGACCAACTAGACTAAGCTTAGTTGTTATACATTATAACATTATAGTGGATAGGTACGTGGGGATTTGTTTACCAAAGATAAGAAGAGGATGTTGTTTGTAGTGGGAATTATTCAGTCTATGATATTGTTGCAATCTACACCAAATCAGGTCGGCTCCTTGAGCGCTCCAGAATTTGCAAAGTTGCTATCACTCGTGTGTCTTTGGTTTGTGGCTCTTTCTCTTGTTAGCTCGTGTGTATTTGGTTTTGGCCTGTGCCTCTTGTTGGTATCTTACCAACTCTGTGGCTTTTTGTTAGCATTTTTCCATGGCTCTCTCTTGGTGCAATTTGTTTGGGATCAAGTGTAGTCCTTTAATGCGTGTTTCATATTCCTTCACCCTTAATTGATGTCCCCCCATACTTTGTATGCTTCATTCATCATAAGGTTTTTTGTTGATAAAAAAAAAAAAAAAGATAAGAGGAAGAAGTACTTTGTGTTAGTGTTGATTATGTACAATGTTATAGATATCATCAATTGCTTTCTTGATGTACAATATTTTTAATTTTGCATGATGAAGTCTTGTCATCATGTTTTGAAGTTCCCGTGTATTTTCCTTTGATGTGGTTGCATGATCATCTGTTGCAAGAGTTGCATTTTTACGAATAAAGTGATTTTACAATGTTGAAAATTCTGTCTTCTTCTTCAGATGTTGCCTAGAGTTTTCATATGGTGCTATAATAATCTCTTTGTTTATTGTGTAGAATTGTCTCGATTAAGTTTGAGAAGTGGAGAGATTTTCTCCCATAGGTGCTAATCTAACAACTAACATTTGCCGATAAAAAAAAAAATGTATAATGTATAACGCTATAATGTTATCAAATTTTTTTTGGTTAAATTTATGTTATAAGATGTATACCGTATGCATATTATTATCAAACCATCAATATTAATATGTTTATATGTAACGTTTGGATGAGATCGCATTGAATACTTATTATCACTTGCCACGTTATTCAAAGAAATTACGTAAATGAATTATTTTTTTATTATTAAATAAATATACTGCTCTTCTCTAGAGTTTTGTCGACTTGGTTATCAAAAATATTTTTTTTTAACTGTAAATGTAAAGATATATTTACATTTAATATGACACATAGTTATGTTCATATTTTTATTTATTTGAGAAGAAATTGGCAAAGAGAAAAAGAAAAAAATAGACAAATTAGACACAAAATATAACTATAATTCACTTCACAAATTCATAAATCAAGCATAATTTGTAAAAATATTTATATTAAAAATGTAGCACGGGCCCCACGCGTGATATGCGGTGGGTGTACTAGTTTTTTAAGAAGTCCACAAATTTCAGTTGCTTGCTAAATGCCAGCTCAAAAAAACTAATTAAAATAAAATCAAAAACAAAAACAAAAAGAACCTACTTGTCCAAAGACTAAGAAGAACGATTCTGTTCAAAAGCTTATCATAGGAAAGTGTCTAAAATCTTTTTTTTTTTTTTTTTGTCTAAAAACACTAAAATTTGAGGGAAAAAGAAAACAAAAAAAAAAAAGTGTCCAAAAACATAATAAAATACAAATACAAAACAAAAGTTTAAATTATATTTGGAGTACAGATTTCGATAGAAATTTGTAGGGGGGAAAAAATGGAGCAGTAAAATTAGAAGAAGAAGAAAAAGAAGAAGAAAAAGTTTATGTTTGAGAGAAAAGTAGTAATAAATTCAATCTAATGAAAATTTTTAATTAGTGAAAAGCTTACTCCTTATGAAATGATTTGCTGAGAAGTCTTTTTGTTATTTTGAGAGGATAATTTATTTTTAATTTTACCTCTTAATTTATTTGTGAACTTTTTTTATCTGTTGATTTTTTTTTTGACTATCTGTTCAAACTTTTATTATCCTTTTAATTTTTTGACTATCTGTTCAATTTTCCCTTATCTGTTCAAATAACTGTACAATTTTTATTATCTATTTTTTTTAATCCAATTTTCTTATCTGTTGAATTTTTTTAAATGTATATCTTCAACCAAATTATCTGTTCAAATACAAAACTATATGTTCTGCCAAATGTTGAAATACGAAAGTTATCAATGCTATTACAAATCTGTTCAGATCAGAGCCATCATAGAGCTGTTATCTGTTGAAACAAGAGGTTATGATCTGTTGAAATGTCCAAATTTAATCAATTAAAACTCTAGTTGAAATTAACCATTTCTAGAAATACATTCTACAGTAGATTTTACAAACTCTTGCTTCCCTCAAATTAAACACCTAGCAAAATAAAGCAATTTTTAAAAAAAAAAAAAAAAAAAATAAATAGTAACGAACACTTGAACTCAGTTTCGTTTTATATTATTTGCCTTAGAAATAATCAACTTCTATGGCACATAGTTAGTTTCTGAACATTTCTATTCCTTTATGAGAATATCACAAGAATAGAGAGCTCTTTTCACATATCAATGGTTTTGAAGGCCTTATGTGTTACTGTGTCCCCCTAGACCAAGTTATCACTGGTGTCCTGTTTTCATTTTGAAGCTCTTCTGAATTATCTGTTGAAATTAGCGTGGACAAGGAAGAGTTGGAAGGTACTTTGAAAATAGCTGAGTTGGACTTGATATTTTTTTGGTTTCAATGTCATCATTTCTATTTAAGGAGCCACATTTTGTGATGGTGCTCTTGTGCCTATTAGGCTCTAGCTATAAGCTATTCTTTTTTCTCATATCAGTTTCTGTGGGAAACAGGAAAGTGTACTTAAGGGAATCTTAAACCACTTGCTGAGCCGAATAAGCAAGCAAAAAGCATTGTGCTGAAAATGTTGTAGTATTGTAGTCGATTCTCCTACTTGATCTTTTCTATCTTGAAGAACCTAATAGCATATGAATATCTATTTATTTTCTGAACAGTATCTGCCATTCTTCATTAAGGTTAGGGTACCAACATGTCTACCCGCCCGCGAGCGGGGGGTGGGGGCGTGGGGTTGAATTTGAACTTCTTGGAAAAGGGTTTGTAATCATTTGGGGGAATGCTATATTTTTTGGATTTGGATTGCCATGGGTTCAACCTTTTACAATTGAACTGTGCCCTACTACTATGTCTCTTAGAATTGGTGTCACCACTTCCCTTTGACAACTTTTTAGTGGTTTTGCATTTATGCTAAGCTATGTTGACTGTCCTGTGCAAGAGATTTATTCTCTCCTGTAAGGGCTATTCATTTAAGCATGCCATGGACAAGCAATACTCATCTCAACTTAGTAAATTTTAATCCCAATTTCTTGGGGCTGGCTCTGTGGATCTGTCTTCTCTAGTTGGCTTAATGTAATGTAAGCCATGTCCTAAGTAGGCTGTAGATGAGAACTATTGTGCTTAGAAGCCCTTTTGGATCATTGGTGTTTTACTGTTTCTTTCTTCTTCTTCTTCGTCTTCGTCTTCGTCTTCTTCTTCTTCTTCCCCCTTTATTTATTTATTTATTTATTTTTCCCCTCCCTTCTTGAAATTAATTTAAAAAATTAGACAATATCTACTTTGCGGCTTTTGCCACTATTAAATTTTCTTCCATGATTTTTTAGCCTCCTTATGCTTGCAAAAGTTTCATAGCAAACATATTACTTGTTAGTAGAGCACACATTAGCCTCTGTGTCACATGATAGTAGCATCTCAGCTAGCTTATATAATTTTTCCCTAGTACGTCTTGCATTCAATCTCCCAAAAGCATTGTTTCTTATCTATGGTTCTAAGCTTTGCCATGTATTAATTTCAACTGACAATATTTCCATAATTAATGCACTTCTAGGCATGCTTATCTTGATGCCATCTTACAGAAGTTTCCTTTGTGTATTGTTGGAATAACTCGCATATTACTCAACAAGAAATTAAAGATATGTTCCTTTAAATCACATAATAACATAATAAAAACAATTGAAAATTTTTAATGCCTTCCAAGAAGAAATTACATTGTTTTGTAGGGGATTTGAACATTCTTAATGCAGTTATAATGGAGTTTATATCCCCCTCCTCTTTCTCTTGCTTTATTTATTTATTTATTTTTATTTTTTTTCTTCGTTCCTTTGGGTATGTGTAATGCTAGACAATGTTTTTAGTTTCTGACAGCTGAGTAAAATTTACTTTATAGGCGTGTTCGTGGAATAACCGAAAGCTTTTGAAAGTGATTATAACCTTAAAATTTTTCTTGTGCCTAGATGCCAAGTGGCACAGTAGGGAAGATGTGAAGAAAGCATTGACATTTGCCGAGTACAAGAAAGCACAAACAACAGCGGCAGCCAAGGTAGCTCAGATGTGCAAAGGAGTGGAAAAAGGACAGAACATTGCTACTGACTTCAATGTGGAAAGTGGTGACCTTGCTCCAATGTTTGTCCCTGGGCCCTTCGCAATTGCTCATCATCTCATCACCACATGGGTTTACCAGGACGAGTTGAAAGGTGTTGAAGCCCAATTGAAGCAACCTAGTGGCTCTCTCTCTAATTTGTAGCAGCTGTTCTACTTGTAAGGCAGCTTTAAATCCTTCATCATTGTTTATGGGTTTATACTCTATTTGATTTCCAAAGATCAGCATCTTTTTTATTTTTTATTTTTTGAAGATTGTAATGGGTTGTTTTGGTGAATTTTGCTATCATCCCTTTACAAATTCTAGAATCCTCCAAAATTATGGGAAGCACCCCCTTTAGCAGTCTCACACACGATATATGGTTCGATGTAAGAATAGTTTTTCAACACTAAATAATTTTGCCCTTCTGTAACTAAATATTTGAGATTGCTACATTTTTTCACTTTGTGTATCACATCATTTTGTGTATCTGAGACGGTTGATCATGTTGTCCCTTAAATTTTGGTAGCTTGTAGATAATTATATGCATTTACTCAGTTATGCCTTTGCTCACTGTTTGCAAGGAATAAGGGAGGGTTCATCAGATGATTTATACATGATATGTTGTACATTGTATGCATCATAATTGTCACTTACCATTGCTGTCATTCTACAAAAAGTGAAGGGATGTTAGTAATTCATGTGCTTTGTTTATGATTGTTGATGTGATGAGGTATTTGGTGCAATTATTGTATTGAAATTATCTCGTAAGATTATTAGGTTGACATGTTTGCGTTCCTATGTGGATTTTGTTACCTAAACTAATATATATTCTTTATTCTCTGTTTTTATTTTTTGTTTTGATTTTGTTTATTATCTACGGGCATTGATATAATGGAAGGAAGAAAAAAAGAAAATAAAGAAGGTTAGTAGTATGGAACATCAATTGGGTTCATAGGCAGGTTCTACCTAGTTGGTTCACATAGTCTGGTTTGACAAGTTATATGCTCAGGCTATTACTAACTTAGAGAAATTCAAGTTGATCATTATTGAATTGTGAATTTATTGTTAAAATTTGGACCCTAGCCCGAATGTCAAAGGTTGTAAAAACATAAATCTAGTAAAGTAAAACAAACTTAAATAAATAAAATATGAAAAATATTTAAATAAGAATTTGAATATACATTTTATGCTGAGTAATTATATAGTGATGTTTTGAGAAGTTGGTAAAAAGCTGGCTTTTTGACTCTTTTGGTGATTTTTTTGACAAAAAACTAGGTCGTTTTGGGTAAAAGAGTTGGCTTTTTTGGCTATAAATCACATTGCCAGTTCGACTCATAATACATTTGATGACAATGATGGTTCTGCTAGAAGTGAAAAGAAGTCGCAAAAACAGTCTGGAAAGTCCTTACATTTACATTCCCAGTTCCTGATTTTTCTCGAATCGCCATTCTCGATCTCTAAACACAGCAATTTAAAATTATTCAAAAAAAGATCTCCCAAACTAAGGGAGTGTTTGAGATTATTTTTTCAGTGACTTTTTTGTTATTATTACTATTATTTTTTAAAATAAATTTGTTGAACAAATTTATTTTTATCTTTTAAATCCTTTGACACTTGACGGATCAATAAAGTATGGAAAAAAAAAATGTAGTAGACAATATTTTTTAGTTGATGCCAAATCAACCCTAAACCATATCCATCCAAAAATAAATAAAAATAAAAAACAGAAGCGTTAAACACTTATTATTTATAAAAGATAAGGACGGTCCAATTATGGTGCACCCATTACATAATTATCATCTAAACACATAATAAAAATTAATTTTATAAAATAAATAAATAAATGTCTAAAAAATTTATCAATTTTACATAATTTTATCTTTGGTGTGTAAAAATCATTTTTCAAAATTCTAAAATATTTTTTTGACATTTATTTTTGTCAAATTAATTTATATTTTATCAAATTGATGACTTTGCCCTTGAAATTGAGCAATAGTATCTTCAATTGTTCTTATTTGGAGCCACATTTAAAATTCAGGGTCAAATGTATCACAATTAAAAAGTTAGGGACCAAAGTGACTCAAGGCCCAAACTATAGGGATCGTTAGTGTAATTCGCCTAAAAAAATATATAATAATAATAAAAAATCAGTATATCTTTGAATTTATATTTTTTTACTACTTCCTCTGTTTCAAAATATTAGTCTCTTATTCCATTTTTCATTGTCTCAAAATATTAGTCTCTTTTCAAAAATCAAGTACAAAAATAATATAAATTTCTCATTTTGCCCTTCTTTTAAATTCAATAACAACATAAAAAGTACAATTATGACATTGATACTCTCCAAAAGATGTACTATCAAAGGGTAATTTCGGAAAATCAATTTTTTTAAAGTGCAATAAGAGTGCTGCTATTAGCACCTACCAAAATTCTTTGAACCCCCCATTTCTTTGGATCCCAACCCTAAACCCTAAATTTTAATAATATTTTTTTTGGACACCCCACTTATTACCAAATCTATCCATATTCATAATATTTTCACAATGAAATGCACACTCACTTAATTTTTCATCCATCTCCTTCCCTGACACACTCAATCTTCAGAGTTTGGAGCTTTGGTCCAGTATAGAATTATTGGACCCCACCCCTCCATCACTCTCGTCGCCGTCTCGGCCGTCAACGGAGCATTCAAACGACTCTCATCTTCTCTGAATGCTCTCCGTATCGCCGAATCAGTAACGTCTCTCATCCTCTCATCATCATCTTCTTCGTTGTTTTTTGTATCTTCGTCATCGCTGAGATCGATCGAAGATACTCCAATTTCTACGGGATTTGCATAACCATTTGCAAGATGAGGAAAAACAGAATCATCGTCTGAATCGCCATCAGAATCATCATCTGAATCGCCATTAGAATTTTGAATGTAGCCCAAAACAATTTGTTCACCACTATGTATCCGAAAAAATGTATTTTGTTCAGAACTGTTTTGTCGAACAATAATGATCTTGTTAGCACTGTATGTCCGAACAAAATTTGTTCATCACTGTGTAACTTGAATCCATTCCAATTCACAACTTAAAATAACATAAATTAAATCCATTCAAAATACATAACTTAAATCCATTCCAATTCACTCTTTTCCATTCTAAGTTAGTTTAACAAAGAAAATTACATAACTGACTATCTGCATTAATGTTCGGAACCTATGTATTGAACGAAAGGATTATGTTCAGTACTGTATTACCGAACATAATTCTAACAGTCAGCAAACCAGTACTGAACAGCTCGAACGAAATAAGAACGACCAAAAACGACCGAGAATGTTAATATAAGACAGATAAACTTATCAATGGAACGCCGGTCTCACTAGAATTGTTGTCCTCATCCTCCATTGCTCCACACAGTGAAATAAGTGATGAAGTATACGTTATACTTGAAGCAAAACTTTCAAGTTCAATAGCGTTGATGATGGTGATGAAGATGATACATTAAGGATTTAAAATGATTATGAAAAATAATAGATTTAGGATTTATGTTAGTTGGTTATGAAAAGTAATAGGTTTAGGGTTTACAAACATGGAATACGTATAGTTGGACTTGGAGTTGGACTTGGAGGTGGAGGTGGAGGTGGAGGTGGAAGTGGAGGTGGAGGTGGGGTGGGTGTCCAATATTATAGAGTATTTGCTCTTATTGATAGGTGGGTGTTCCATTTAATAATATCTTTTAATGTAATTTTACCTTAGGGTATAATTGTAATAAAAATATATATATAATGGGGGGTCCAAATAATTTTGGCAGGTGCTAACAGCAGCACTCGTGCAATAATTGTACTACCAAAAAAAGTTGGATTCCCTAAAAAGGACCATTATTTTGGGACAGATGGAGTAATATTTTACTTTTGAATTCTATTTAGCTTATTAGATACTAGATTTTCAAGTAAAAGTATAATTTAAATATAAAATATGAAATTTCAATATCTTTAATCACCAAAATTAAGAAAATATGAAAAATCAAAAACTGAAAAACAGATTTAAAAAATAAAATCAATGAAATTAGTTCTTATTTTGAATTTTGGCATCATACCTTGGTTATTAAAGTACAATGTAAATATTACAGTTCATAAAATATAATTTAAATAAAATGAAAGCGTATAAAGATAACATGCGAATTTTTAAAATGCAACACAAATCTCTGTTTTAAAACGTATGTGCTTTCGTCTGTTTAGATTCGAACAAATGCATACAATTTTAAGATGCAACCAAAATTATTCACAGTGATTTGATCTATGATGGGGAATTGTAAATATTATGTATATCAGGATAGAAGTAGACACAAGAAATAAGAAACAATAATTATTTTTTGTTTTTCAATCACCATCAATGTAAAAAATAGAGAGACGGCTTCTTTTTTTTTTCGTTGATAAGAAGGGAGATGGTTTGTTTATATTTATATAGGACTCTTGGAAATAGATATATCGTTTTTTAGTGTTCAACTCCAAAAATAAATAGGTAATTGATTTATATAGGACTCCTCATGACTTTCAGAAAATATAATAGATTTAAGAGAATAAAATTGGAATTTAAAAAAAGTAGAAAACATAATAGGGTTTTCACACTTTTTATACTATATAGATAGATTTTTGGTTGGTTCATCCAATGTTTTGAAAATCGGATCAGTGAATGAATTGGAAAATGAATGGGTGGATGAGTCACTAGTTCAACTGTCGAATCAAACCGTGATGTTATAATTATTTTATAAATATTTAAAAAATAATATATAAATACAAATGTTGGCAATAATTTTTTTAAACTAAATATTACGAATTAAAATTTTAGTAATTTTTAACTCCTCAAATTAAAAAGAAATAATATCTATATAATAAGACATAACAGTTTTTTGAAAATGTATCAAAATGTCTAAGAGATATATATTTTTTTAATGGCTGATCAAAAGTTCAAAATTTTCGAGATATTTGTTTGTGATTATGTATCAATTTTAACCAATAAATAACAATCCCAATCAAACTATCAAAGACAAAGCAACACAACGATTTAACGTAAAAAAAAAAATTACAATTGGAGCGCCTCCAATTGTAAAAAAAAAAATCACAAGAAAAAGCCACAAAACAATCCACTAAGAAGACAAAAGGAATTATACAAGTGTACTTTCAATTACTTAACAAATCAATGCTCAAATTGAACTGACCCCTATATGCCTCTTCCACCATGGTCTTCACCTCAGAATCGTCTTGCCTAACATTGAATCCACAACGCTGATGTCAAATCCACGACAATGAGCCACTCCGGAATCCACCAAAGCTTTAGGCTCAAGTTCCACGGAGCCCACTGAAGAACAACCCTCTTTTTTGTGAATAAAACAAAACAAACAAACTCTTTGATATAATCCACTCAATGCTTGATATAAACTCTCACATATATCAAAGGAAACAAGC